AAACGGTGAAAAACAAAACATAAAGAAAAATTGGAAGATGAAAAATGAAAAATGTGATTGTTTCGTCTATTTTCTGTTTCACTATCTCTCTGTTTTTTGCTCGCTGTTATTTGAAGAACTGAGATAAAAAAGAAACAAAAAATATTTGAAGATATCAAAAAGTGTCTGAGTTAATTTTAGTTTTCATTAATGTTGTTTCTGCTCTTTTCCTTATAGAAGTGAATCAAAATTACAAGTTTTTTCCTGTTGTTTTGTCTTTTTTCCAATTTTTTTAAACTTTTTATCAGCTGTTTTTTTTTTTAGCGAAACAAAAAGGTCACCAGAACCTTTAGTTATTATTTTAAGTAAAGAGTTGTTTTTTTTTTGGTTCTGAAACAACAATTAGAGAATCTAGAAATTGGTTGAGTGCAGGCGAAAAAAAAGGGTGAAATCAGAAGACGATGAAACAAAAGAATAAAAAACTCTTAGTTTTTGCAAAACTGTTACTAAAATTCAGACAAAAGAGAAAAAAAAAACCAGAAAGAAATAATAATATAAAATTGTAAATTTGTAATTGTCATTATTGCCGATACTGCGGTCCGATACACTTTGCTACCCCAAACTGTTGCGAGGCGCTGTATTTTGCAGTCATTTTACCAATTATTTGTTTTGCAGTTTTTGCTGTCCAAAAGTTGGAGCGGAAAAAAAAAGTTTTTATTTTTATTTATTGATGATATTGTTATTTGCAATTTCTTAAATAAACTTTAAAGAACTTAATGTTTACTAGAAGAGAAAGAAAACATTTTGTTGTTGGTGGTGTTGTTGTTGTTCAACAATCATCAGAAAAGGGCTTGATGACTACTTAAAATTCTAGGAAATTGAGCGGAAATTTTTTTCTCATCAATTTTCTTAAACGTTTGCTGCTGCTTTTCTTTTTTTTTTCATTTTCTAGTTTCAATTTTTTCATTTTTTTTTTACACTTTTTTTTTTGCTTTGTTTTCAAGTTTTGCTGGTTTTTTTTTTTTGTTGTTGTTTGATATATTATTAATAACCTATGGTTTTATACAACAATATTACTGCCAAAAAGTCTTGTTTTTATCAGTGCTTTTTGTTTGCTGTTGTTGTTGTTGTTAGTTTTTTGTGCCATTTCTTTTTTCGTTTTTTGATTGCTTTTATTAGTGATATTTTGTTGAATTTTTTTTTTGATTATTTTGAGTAAACAGCAGTTAGCAGTTGTTTAGTAAACAGCATTTTTGGGATATGATAAATAAATATTTATAGCAAGAAAAGCAAACAAGAGTTTTTCTATCTTTTTCTTCTCTTTTTTTTAGGTCAAGATCAAAACCAAATGCACTTGGTTCACCACCATCACCAAGTTTTGCATCATCATTGAAGCCAAATGATGCTGTTTTCTCTGAATCATTTTTGTTCCGTATGACACCAGAAATGTTGGATCGTTGTCATATTGTTATACAGGTATTACCAATTACTACTTAAATATCTGCTTCAATTTATAAATTACTTTATAAAATGATATGTATAAAGGAGTTGTTTAAAATTCTAAACATTTCAATGTTTGCATTCTTGTTTTTTAGATGTATGATACAGATCCATCGGATAGTACCAATACAGCATTCCCAGTTGGGCACTGTGTTGTTGGTCCGCTAAGTCCAGGTACAGGTTGTGCACATTGGCTTCAGATGATCAGAAAAAGTGGCCTTCCAGTTTGCATGTGGCATCGTATGGTTGAATCATAGAAAAAAATTTTTTACTAGAATGATATAGGATAAAAACGATTTATTCAGAACCAAAAAAAAAAAGACGGGAAATATAAAAAAAAAAAAGCAGGAAAAAGAAAAACATAACAAATAAATCTGTTAGCATTTTTTTTTTCTTGGTTGTTGTTGTAGTTATACCGGTTTTGAATGTGTTCAGATTGGACGTATCATTTTTGTTCTGTTATGATCCTGTTTTTTTTTAATGAAAATAATCAAAAAAAAATCTGAAAAAAATTGCAATACACATACAGAACCTATTGTTATTATGATCAGTTGAAAAAAAAAAAA